TCTTTCTTTTTTTTTTTTTGCTAGCCATCAACTTACATCCATATCTGCTTGATCCTTTTGGGGATTGCTAAATTAAGCTCGCTAAAGTGGGCCTAGAGGAGCTTAATCTATGACTATTTCAGCCCTACTAGTAAGGCAGGACTCTTCTGGGATTTCTCCACTCAGGCTGATTAGAACCCACTGTCTCCCAGCCCTGTGTAAGTGCTAGGAATTGTTAACCTTAAGCTCCCAGAGAGGTTTTTTTCCAGGTCTCGCTCTGTCACCCATGCTGAAGTGCAGCAGTACAATCACAGCTCACTGCAGCCTCAAACTCCTGAGCTCAAGGGACCCTCCTGCCTCAGCCTACCAAGTGGCTAGTACTACAGGCATGCACAGCATGCCTGCCTAATTTTTCTCACTTTTTTTTTAGAGAGGAGGTCTCGTTATGTTGTCAAGCTGTCTTGAACTCCTAGCCTCAGGTGATCCTCCTGCCTCTGCCTCCCAAAATGCTGGGATTACAGACATGAACTATTGCACCCGGACCCAGGGAGTTCTTTGTTTGGCTTTGTGGATTCTGTTCCCACACATTCTTAGCTTAGTACTTCCCAACATACTCAAGGGGGTGCCCTTGCAGGTTGCTTGATTTCTTTTTCTTTATAGCTATCTCCTCTCTGACACTTGTACTTCAAATTCAAGATAGGAATTGAATTCTATCAGACTTTTTGAACTCAGATTTCTGTTCCTTCAACCCAGGGTCCAGAACCTGCATGGGCTCTCCCTTCCTGTGCTGTGGTCTAGAAAGTGCTGCTATGTAGAAAGTTGAGGAAATCATATGATTCCTTTGTGTACAGTCTCCTTTTCTCTTCTCTCAGGGATCACAGTTCTTTTCTACCTACATTCCAACATCTGACAAGAATAGAAGTTTCTTCCTCTCTCTCTTTTTATTTTGTTGCTCAAATTGTGTCAGATTTCTGTCACCCCTTCCAAGTGGCTTCTGTGTCCTTCTATTTATCCCTATAATTTTTAAAGCATTTATATACTTCTTGGTACAATTAGATGATCCAAGCTTATCTTGTACTTTCCTTGCCCCAAATCTAGAATCAGAATTTTCTCTCAGGAGACCTGGAATCTTTTAGTAAAGAATGACATTTAGAGGCCAGATATGTCCATTCAGTATGCTACCTACTACTGATGTGTCATTGTTTCTAGGTTCCTGGAGGGGTTTTTGGACACTTCAGTTTATGGGTAAGTTAAGAAGTCCTGTTAAGATCTTAAAGGGCTTCAACTGCTTGGACCCTATGAACTGAAACTAAATAAATTATAGCTTCTTTCTAGGACAAAACCTCACACTGAGCAAACTGCAAAACTGGGACAACAAAAGTAAATTTTTTAAAATCCTAAAGTGGCAGAGGGCAGTGAAGAAAGCAGAACTTAGAAAGTACAAGTACATATTTTTATTATCTTGTTTTAAAGGGAAGAGGAAGCTCTAGAGCAGGCGTCCTCAAACTACAGCCCGTGGGCCACATGCAGCCTGCCCGGTGTTTTTGCTGCCACTACCTGTCCTGCTTTAGCAGCTGACTCATCCAGGGCCCACAGTGCACATGTGCAGAATGTGTGCCACACTCTCCAATGGCCCTCCAATAGTCTGAGAGACAGTGAACTGGCCCCCTTTTTAAAAAGTTTGAGGACCCCTGCTCTAGAGCTATGAAACTAAAAATGTTATATGGAGACACCCTATCCAGGCAAATACTAAGTTACTTATAAGGGAATGAAAATCAGATTGTTATCAGACTTTTTAAGGGTAACATTTTATGCCAAAAAACAATTAGATGATTGACTAATATATTTAAGATAGTCAAGGGAAAAATATGAGCCAAAAATTTCACATCCATCCAAATAAACTATTAAAGTATAAAGGTCACAAACAAACTGCTAAGATGATCCTGTGAGTCCTTCCTGGGAAATCTAGTACAGAACAAGCTTTAGACAACCACAGTTATTGAAAAATAACAACACAAGGTTGTTATTCAAAAATAACAACCACAATTATTGAAAAATAATAACACATTTAATGGTTAGATAAAATATGCATTTACCCAAAGAATAAAGAATAAATGATGATTATAAAAGAGAGACTACAGTCTAATGCAATGGCTTATTGCTTTGCCAATACAGATATAGCTCAATTATCTAAAAAATAAAAACAAAAAAGCAGGGTAAGAATGAGGAAAGAATATACAAAGTAGTATAACCTTACTGATTACCTTATATTTTAAGGGAGCAAAGAGATACTACTTCAAGTTAGATGGTAAAAAAGAGGGAGGGAAGGAAGAAGAAGAGATGACTAGATAATTTTAATATTACTCATAGCAGGGACAAAAGCAAAAAAGGGAGAAGGGGGAACATAGAGTATTATATAGAGTCATAAAGGTAACCATTAGAATAAAGATATAAGCCTTCCTAAAAACAGAGGTCAAATAAAATAGACTATGTGTTGAAAGGCTTTTTATATAAAAGACTTATATATAGTAAAGTAGAAAAACATGACGGAACTGAGGCTAAAGATACTGATCACATCAATAAATATAGGGAGAAACCTTGGCTATTGAGTAACGTCTAGAACTATGTATAAAACAAAGAGATTCAGAAGCTTTAAAAATAAAAAGACAAAGACATATCAAGGAAATGCAAATTAAAAAGAAGGCAGGTGTTGTAATCCTGAAATCTGACAATGTAGATTTATGGGAGGAAATCATAGATAAAGAGTCAGATTTAAAAATAAAAAATATTTTCTATGATGCTGAGGAGTTTGAACTTTATATCTTGCAGTCAATGGGAGTCTTTGAAGGACAAACTATACAGATGGACAAGAATAGATGTGCACTTTAAAGATGGACTGAACTGAAGTAACATGAGAGGCAGAGGATCCAGTTAAAATGGAGGGAGGGGATAAACACTGCTCGAGTGCCTACTCCAGGCCAAGGGGTTTACACACATGTTCTCGTTTTAATTCTAGTGACAACCATATGAGATGAGTCTTGCTATTCTCATTTTATATATGGAGATTCTGAGTGTTAGGAACATTAAGCAACTTACCCAAGTAAAGCAGCTAGTAAAATGCTAGAACCAAGATTTTGAACTCAGTTTTATCTAGCTCTTTGCCACTACATAATGCTATTTGTCACTTAAAAGAAAAGAATAAACATATATAGTCCAAGCAAGAAAGAGTGAGGGTTTTTAGGAAGTACAGAAGGATAGATATTTAAAAACACAATTAGGAAGGCTTGATGATAGACTAGATATAAGATTAAACAACAAGAAAAAGAAATCTAGAATTACAGAACCAGTATGAAAAGCTGGTATCCACAGGAGTTACAAACATATTGAAAAGGGAAACAAAGCAGAATGTCCTTACATGTCCTTTTATTTTTTACTGCCTTTTATTCTTCCCCAAACTTGTACTAAAGCCAAAACTTAAGCATGTATGATTTCTCATTATGTGTTTAAAAAAATACCATTACAGCAATAATCAGGTCTTCTGAAAACTACTAACACTAGAATAGATCCACCAACATCTAGATAAAAATCCAAAATGGATTACACCAAAGAAAGCAAAGCAGGCTTCTTCTTTTTCTTCCTTGTTGTATTTGTTGGGGAAGGGGCAGATTTTAAAACTAGTAATATTCTGATAAAATACTTGTTCTCAGGCTGAGCATAGTGGCTCATGCTTGTTATCCTAGCACTTTGGGATGCCAAGGCGGGTGGATCGTTTGAGCTCAGGAGTTCGAGACCAGCCTGAGCAAGAGTGAGATTCTGTCTCTACTAAAAAAAAAAAATAGAGGGAAATTAGCAGGACAACTAAAAAAAAAAATACACACCACACACACACACAACACACACACACACACACACACACACACACAAAGAAATTAGCCGGGCATGCCTGTAGTCCCAGCTACTCGGGAGGCTGAACCCAGGAGTTTGAGGTTGCTGTGAGCTAGGCTGACACCACGGCACTCTAGCCTGAGCAACAGAGTGATACTCTGTCTCAAAAAAAAAATAAAAAAATACTTATTCTCAGTATACAAGGCATTGTGAGCTAAAAAGTCTTTTTACTGCACAGGTTTTAGAAATTGATTCATAGGAATAAAATCTAGTTAACATATAAACATATATTCTTAAATTCTAGTCATCACTTTTTTTTTTTTTTAATTTCGGCATATTATGGGGGTACAGATTTTAAGGTTTCAATAAATGCCCATTCCCCCCCTCCCCCCAAAAGTCTGAGTCTCCATCATGACCATCCCCTAGATGGTGCACATCTCACTCTTATGTATGTATTTACCCGCCCCTCCCCCCTCCACCTGCCCAATACCCTATTACTGTAGTACCTATGTGTCCACTTAGGTGTTACTCAGTTAATACCAGTTTGCTGGAGAATATATCTGGTGCTTGTTTTTCCATTCTTGGGATACTTCACTTAGTAGTATGGGTTCCAGCTCTAACCAGGAAAATATAAGATGTGCTATATCACCATTGTTTCTTAGAGCTGAATAGTACTCCATGGTATACATATACCACATTTTATTAATCCATTCTTGGATTGATGGCACTTGGGCTGTTTCCACAGCCTTGCGATTATGAATTGTGCTGCTATAAACATTCGAGTGCAGGTGTCTTTTTTGTAGAGTGTCATTGGATCATTTGGGTAGATGCCCAGCAATGGGATTGCTGGATCAAATGGTAGATTCACTTGTATCGCTTTAAGGTTAAAAGTCACAATATAGAATCTTTCAATGTTTCTACTTTTAAAAACAAAACCTCGTTTGAAAGGAGGTTTTGAAATTGAAAATTTTTCTCCTTATCCAATTTTTGTTTCATTCTTGTCCCCAGGTTAGTCTTCACAATTTCATATGACATACTCTATTATTTCTTTTTTTTTTTTTTGAGTTATCTATAGATATTTTCTTAGTTAAGTAAGGACATTTCTCCCTCATTTCTTTTATTCATCATATACTTACATGGAATAGTTCTCAAGTAGAGATTATCTCTGATCACTTGCTGCAGTTTGTGGTCAATTGATCCCTTTTGAAACTGAAGACTCAGGTAATGCCGCAAATCTTTATTAATGACTTTGCCTACAAAGAAAACCACACAAAATAAAACATAATTGTTAGATGTCCAGTTAAATATAGAAACGAGTAATTGAATATCCTTAAACCATTTAACTATGAACAGGAAAAAGAAATAGGAATATTTTACTAAAAAGAATATAACTAACATAAATTATTAGTATTATAATTATTAAAAGATGCATTTGCAATATAATGTGGGTATAATTTTACATGGTAGGAGAGGGAGAAGATACGGGTCACAGAATGTGACAAACATTCAAGATAATTTCAGTTAATCCCATGGCTTTAAATATCACCTAAATAATGATAACTTCCAGATTTGTATCATGTCTCATTCCCTGACCTATCTCCACCAAGCTCCAAATTCATCACACTCATTCATATATTAATATACATAGATATATTTGGAAGTCAAATAAGTACCTCAAATTTGAGAGGTTAATTCCACCAGCTTAATTCCACCCTCCCCCAATGTTTTCATCTCCCCCAATTTTCCCTGTCTTTAGAAAGCACCATTATCCTGTAGAACAATCCCCAAATCCAGAAGTCATCCTCGATTTCTCCTTTTCACGTCTATCCCTTATATCCAATCCATTAGCAACTTTTGTCAGTTCTACCTCTAAAATACATTCCACTCTTCTCCACTTCTACTGCCACCACACTAATCTAAACCACTATCATTTCTCATATGGAATTCTGTAACAGCCTTCTAATCAGTATCCATTCTTGCATCCTTCTTGCCCCCACCACTACACAGCAGCCAGGATAAGACTTAAAATATAAATTCAATAATTACTAGTCTATTTGAAGCCCCCAACGACTTCTTGTTGCACTTGGAATAAAATCCAAACTCTTGTACAAGGCCTAGAAAGCCCTACATGTTCTGACCATCTCTGACCCTAACATGTTCACTCTTCCCCCTCTCAAATTAAGCTGCCTGTATGCTTGGCCATCTTTCTCATCTTTGAAAAGGCTAAACTGGGCCCTACCTTGGGGTCTTATACCTATTATTAGATCAAACAAGCATTTTCTGTCTACTTACTTCGCTCCTAGATAAAATGTGAATAAATAAGAGAGTCAAAGATTTTCTATTATTTGTGAAGAAAATGAGAGATAAACAGGAGAATATTAGGGCTTTCAAAATAAATATTAAGCAGAAAAATAGGGGATTACAGAAATGTGATAGCAGTCAATCTGTAATAAGGGTTGAACTTAAAATGAAAATCAAAGCTGCCCAAACGCTGTTCATTAAACAAGACTTCAGATAGTTAGAAAAGATCAAGACAAAATGCTAAGACAAAATTGATTATATTACTGAATAAGAAATGACTAATTCACTAAAGTATACTTTTCATTTTATTTGGAGCAACATGCTTACCACAAGCTTACATAAACCAAATACTACAAATCAGTTCATTCTATTATTACACAATGTTATATTTCTTTTCCCTTCTTTTGCTCAATTCTTATATGTATAAATAATCATAACCTATGTGAGAAGGTGTTAATATAATCAGGAAATCAGGGTGTTTCTAAAGTTTAGAGATAACATTCAGACCTAAACTAATAAACACAAATCAGAAAAAGTCTTTCTTTTGCCTTGCCAAAAACAGATGCCAAGGAAGGGGGGAACCTTTGTGATTAAAGAAAATAAAGCTGAAAGATATTTTTAGGGATGAATATAGAAGAATCCCTGGTCCCACTAATCCAAGTCTAATTTAGATAAAATTATACTATTTCATTTTTTATTTACACCACAGTACTTGTCCATTATTAGGCACTATACAGATTCATTGCTTATTGAACAAAAATATACCCAGTGAGTTCATTAAGTATTTTAAAAATTATGTAAAAGGTGTCTCATGCTTTGTAAATATTATACAAAGTTTTGGTGGATTGCCATATAGTTGTTTAAAAGTACTTTTTGATAATTTAGGGTATTTGGTTAGGGTTTTTGAATAAATAGAGAATTGCTATATTTTTTTTGCCATTTAAAAATATCATAATATAGGCTCCAATATCCAAAAATCTGCTGTATAATGTATTTTTAGGAAAAGATTTAATTTGAATAAAAAATAATATATTTATAATTTTTTAAATATATTTGTAATTTTAAAAGGCAATCTGAATAAACACTTTAAATTTAAGATTTCCCTTTTTATTCAACTTGAAGCTTTAGTATATGATATGGTATAACTTCAGAGATAACTATAATATGTTTAAAAGCCAGGTTGGATTTTAATCTATAAAAATAATAGCCATTAAATTAGAGATAAAGGACAAAGCTACAATATAATCATAAATCACAAATTATAACATGATGGATCTCTTAAGAGAAAATGGTTAAAACAATTTAAGTCTTATTTTAACGGCCTATAAGATCTTAAGACTGAGAGGCCAGTTAAAGCAGAACAAGTTAGACTTAAAGAATAACACCTACAATTATCAGAGCTGGAAATGTGCTCTGTTTTCACCCTCCACTTCTATTGAGATTCTGGATATAACACTGAGACAAACAGTTGTAAAGAAAAGAATGAGGGATAATTTTATAAGTGTGATATTTTATTTAAAATGTGAAACTATCCAAAACAATCATCATACCTTTTTGAGGCTAGAGAGAAAATATTACAAGCATCAATGAAATACCAATTATGGGATTGGCATTAAGATTAACAATTAATAATATGGTTTGTTGGATATAGCAGTCATCATGGACTTCCTTTTCTCAAGAAACCAAAAGAAATTTTCTAAAGGGGAAAGATTATGGTTCCCTCTTTGACATGATTCAAGGGAATTTGTATTTTAAAAAATAGTATAAATATCCTGAATAGGAGCTGACTGTGGGATTACTAGAAGCAAACAGAAACATTAACTCAAAAAGACACTGTTGAATATATCTATATTATCAAGTTGTATATGAACTCCTACCTTTTGTTTAGGTGTGGTTCACAGAAACATGACATTTCAAGTGTAGGGAGTTAATGTAATTGTTATTAAACAAATAAAAGATTCTTCATAATGTTAGCATTTTTACCTAGCCAGCCTTTGCTCTAAGTGGTAAGATTATTCCTTAACTTCTAAGTGTTTTATAAGTCAAGGAGATTTATGAACCTTAAAAATAGATGTAGATATCTTATAAATATAGCTTAAGTAGGGAAAAAGTCTATAACTAAAACCTCAATCATATAAATAAATCCAGGCACTCACATTTCAACATATAAATCCTCTGTCAAAAGTACTCATAACTACAAATCATACTTTCTGAATATATGCAAATTAATATTCACCATCAGTTCTCTTTGGGGAATCAGTGTATAAAGTAACTGGTTATTATTCTGATAAACCTTGTGGCATGCTGGCATGGGTATGGTCATGCAAGTAGCTATAAATCAATCTAATTACCAATATTTCATCATCTTTTCCAAGAGGATAGTCAAGGAAATTTTGTCACCCACTTGGATAAAGTCAAGATACAACATGTCTTTACTATTTTCCAATCCAATAGTAATTATAAAACTAAAAAAAAAAAAATCAGGTGTGCTTCACATGTCTTGTTCTTACAAATTCACATTGATTTATGATCATCCCATTTTCTTCTAAATGCTTACAATATTTTATTTTTTTATAATCTCTTCAAATTTTGCCACAGCTTAAGTTAGGACACTGGACTTAAGTTTTCACAATATACATTACTCCTTTTTGGAAAATGGGATGTTTGTCTCTCTCCAGTCTCCTAGTACTTCCCATATTCTTGGTGACTTTGTAAATAACACTGTCAATAACTCTGAGATTATATCTGAGTCCCTTCAACTCCTGAGAGGTGATTCGTTTAAGTCTTGAAAACTTAAATTCACTTAAAGTGAATGATGCTTTTACTATTTTCTCATCTTATGACAATTTCCTGTTTCACATTGTTTGTTCTAACTTTTACTCTTGGAAAAATAATTCTGCTATTTCAAAATTTTAGAAGCTAGTAAGAATAGTATAGGTCTGATTTCTGCCTGGAAACAGCTAACATTAAGAATATCCTTTTCAGACAGTAAGCCTACTTCTCTCTTCTTGCTCTTACTCTAAATACAACCTGAAAGCTCTTTGTGCCCTCTGAAGCATCTTGGCTCCTCTTGAGCTTTGGCCTTTGAAAAGAAAATTCTAAAATGTTTATTTCTTAACGTCTACTTAGGACTGTATAACTGAGTGATGATTATGCACTCCTTTCATCTATTAATCATACACATCCTTTAAGAAACCTGAGCTGCTCAGAGCATTCTATATACCTGTAAGAATTTCTTCACACAATTTTTCTTTTAGAAATCTCTAGCCTTGGGACTACACCTATTGATGATATAAACTTTCAAAAACCTGTTAGCCTCAAAGGCAAAAGATGGGGATAACCATGTCCCAGTTTTCTTCCTTACTATGATGTCTCTAAGACAACTTGGTAACTTTCCTCAATAAAACGTTCAATATAACGAGCTCGACAAAACTAATACTACTAACTAGTCCTTTCCCATTAGACCACGACTCAGGAGAGCAGTTCATCTTATTGCTTCCTCTGCCTTGTGAGAACTATAGCAATAAGGGAAGGTTTCATGATGTGGTGAGATTAGCTTAAAGCCAGATTGGCTCCTTGGCTCAAGGCAGGAGGTCCTTAAAACAAAATAAATCAAACTGTCCACTTGTTTATGAAACTAATGGTATTTATAAGGCTCTTCTAGATAATCAATATACATCTCATAGTAAAAGATATTCTATGATACAAAAGTTATTTAAAAATGTCTTACACGTTGTTAAACATAAACATTTATAAGGTATCCGAGAGCCAAAGCTACGGTTTTTTTACAGATTTAGTTCCAGTATCTAGCACATGGAATGAATGAATAAGCTTTATTTTGCATTTTTAACTGTTCATTTGATCCTTTCCATCCTTAAATATGTGAAATTTTAGAAGACAGTACTTACTTAACTGATATAGCACTCTTTAGTAGTCTATATACAACCTCATC